TGTATGACGTCACAGACTCCTATAAAAATTCGTAAAAATATAATACTTCCCATTTGAATATCAGAAAAAAACTTCAACCAGTGATTATTAGACCTGTAAGGGTTATTCCATTAACGTTTCAGCTGAATTAAAATTCGGATGATTTTCATGCTAGTACCCCTTTAAGCACACACTGTTATTTGTTGACTTTCGGCTAGAACGGGAATGCATTAATTGGGTTATAGACAAAATGGTGGCTGATTGGATTTACTATCAAGCACCTTCACCTTTACAGTCAAACAAGCTCACGCGTTGACCCCTAGATTCGATTAGTGAAATCATTAGTCAATTATTCCTTTTATACGTACGAACCGGAATAATGCAATATTGCAATATTCAAATGAAAATTCAGTTCATTATTCAACTCGTGATGAAGAAGGTAAATCATCTAAATTACAGATACCTTCGAGCAGAAGTCGCTCTCTTATTTCATAAGCATACACACTAGGTTTTGTAATTTCCATGCCTCAATTACTTGGAGGATATCATCAATAATTTTGTAGGGAACGCTCCCGCCTTGAGCGAAATGGAGACACAGTTCCATGTCGTCGATAATGTTGAAGTATTTTCTGGACTCCCCAACTAGAAATTTTCAGTTGTCGCGAAATTGCTTTATTGGACAATCCGCTATTGCTGAGATGAACAATTTCCTGTCGAATAATATCAGGTAAAGGCCTTCCCGGCACATAAACACGGCCAAGACTATTTCTGGCCACCATGTTTTCTTGGTCTTCCGGCTGTGTTAGCACTGATTAACCAATCAAAATGTCGTATATTGAATTTAAAGTTGATTGGAATTTTCATATCTTCGTTTTTGACGTTGTAAATTTCAACTGAATAATGAAATCAAAATTCGAAAATTCAAATCATTAATCGACTCTAGGGGTCAACGCGTGAGCTTGTTTGACTGTAACAGTACAGTACGTTATCCAGGAATACTTTGCTTATGTATAACTATGCTTTTGTTGTAATAAGAAATTCCAAATCTTAAAGCAGAAGATGGACTTGGGCACTTGTCAAAAGATACACAATCCAGCTTTAAAAGCAGACTTTGTAGAAGCCTCCAAAAAGAGAGATTATGGTTATGATATAGATGTAAGTATTATTTTACAATATGATGTTGTGCTTCAAAAATTCACAAACATTTAATACAGTAATAATACAGGCATATTTCTTTTATTTAGCCTGGTAAAACCAATCAATTTAGTTGGCATTACTTGTGACCAGCTGCTTCTAAGAATTACAGAAAAAATAAAATTTTGAGATTCATTTTGCCCATCTATGGAGTGCTGGAGAAGCAGCTAAGGTGGCTCCATAGGGTTTTGAGGAAATACCAAACAGAAGGAAACAGAGTTCAATAGCTAATACAGATTTTAAAAAACTCTTCATTGCTAATCACCACTGCAAGAACAGCAGCGGTGCAGCTCAAGGGGGGTGAACTGAAAGCATGTGAAGTCACCTCTGGCAGCTGCTATGTAAGAGTTAATTACCGAGAACAGAGGCAATAAGCCACATGTATAGGCTTGTTGTTGATGTTCAAGGTAATTAAGTATTTTATTTATCAATTGAGAAGGTTTTCTATCAAATGTTGCACATATTATAAATGCGAAGTCTATATATATAGTTACTAACTGGGTTAATAACTAACTGTATATTGACCTCGCATTTATAATGAGGGTTATAACAAAAATAAAGCCTTGTGAATAACAAAGAATACCGTGTCAATTGAGAAATAAGCATTACTAATATGTTTATACCCAATAGGCCAACCATATTAAATTTTGTGAGTTTATGATTATTTTTTCTTGAAGCTGATCATGTGTAACCTAACCATAGGAATATACATCAGCTGTAAAGGTGAAATTAATTATTCAAAAAATTAATTTTCCATGGTTACTTTTTTTCAAAACTTAATATAAATTACTAAGTTCATTAAGTAATCTTTCATATGAAAATGAAGTAAAAGATTTGATACTATATAATCAAAGGTAATGCTAAATGTTGTTTTTGCTGAATAAAATGTTTTCCAAAAATAATATTTAAACACCTTCAAAATTCTACAGGGTATTCTGAAAAGCATGTTGAGTTTGTGGAATAAGTGTTAAATATATAGTGATGTTTACACCAATGTCGCCTATTGATATTGATCCACGTACCAACCAGAGCTCTATTGATATTTATGCACGTACCAATCAGAGCTCTATTGATATTTATGCATGTACCAACCAGAGCTCTATTGATATTGATGTACGTACCAACCAGAGCTCTATTGATATTGATGTACGTACCAACCAGAGCTCTATTGATATTGATGCACGTACCAATCAGAGCTCTATTGAAATTGATGCATGTACCAACCAGAGCTCTATTGATATTGATGCATGTACCAACCAGAGCTCTATTGATATTTATGCATGTACCAACCAGAGCTCTATTGATATTGATGCACGTACCAATCAGAGCTCTATTGATATTGATGCATGTACCAACCAGAGCTCTATTGATATTGATGCATGTACCAACCAGAGCTCTATTGATATTGATGTACGTACCAACCAGAGCTCTATTGGCTACTGAAACAGCTGTTGTAACGGTTGGCAAATTTGAACAAGAAAAGATCTTCCTGACATTGATGTTTGTAAACCGTAAATATCGCTACATATGATGTGAGACTAATATTTTGGCAGTACACAGTAGGTGCATGTGATTATATTTTTAGTAAAATTCGCCCCATGTAAGGGAATCCGGAATCCATGAAATTTTAGGCTTTGGAATCTGGAATCCAGCACTCTGGAATCCGGAATCCAGGCCTTGGATTCCGGAATCCAGTTTATAATGGAATCTGGGATCCACCCTTTTGGAATTTGGAATCCGCTACTTTGAAATTCAAAGTAGTATACACTCAAATGCTATCGCCTTGACCTAGACTGAACCGATGTAGCCCCCCCTCCCCCCACTGGGTAATATCTCCACCAAGAATATCTGTCATCAGATGCTGATTTAATTGATAGATGATTCTACTTATACTGACAAGTATATAAATTATAATTTTCAGAGAAAGTATCTGAAAATTAACGATATGGAATCTGGAATCTGCAATACAAAAATTTTGGAATCCGGAATCCAGACCCTTAGAATCCGTAATCCAGTGTCTTGGAATCCGGAATCCAGAGTCTTGGAATCCGGAATCCAGCACTTGGAATCCGGAATCCACCATGTCCGGATTCCCCTACATGCAATTGTGCTTGCTGTCAAATATTACAGGAATTCCCCATAAGGCATTGCAATTGGAAATGGTGAATAATTTGGCAATCTTGAAATACCTCCAAGAGAAATGACTGTTGGTCTTGCACATAAAGTTAAAAGTCAAAAACAACCTTACCCAGGATTAGGTCTAAATTACCCCAAAGGGGCAGTTTTGAGTTGAAAAAAATGCAGAAAGAAGGAACCAATTAAAATGAGTGATATTTATTAGGAAACAAAAGGACCTAGATGATACATTTTGCACCTAAAGATGCCAAGAATGCTCAAGAGGCTAATGTGGATACCTGTTAATGACAAAATATCGATCAGAAAATGTAGCTTATTCTACAAGAGGAATAATGGACCTACCCCAACTTACAGAGATAATATACTAATTAGAAACTCAGATGTCCATACTAAATCATCTATATTATATATTTTATTTATATAAGTTCTTATAAATTAGGATTATTTAAGCTGTATAATTAGTATAGGAAATCGCACGATCTCGAGTACAATTTGGAAATTAATAGACACGAGTAATGTTTTGAAAGTTCTTGTAATTGCACGAGCCTTTAGGCGAGTACAATTAAAGAACGTTCAAAACATTACGAGTGTCTATTAATTCCAAATTGTACGAGAAGATCGTGCGATTTTTTGTTTATAGTTCACTCAACAAAATTTCAGTAAAAAATGCGAAGCGACGCCGTTCATCTTTGTCTATTTGGCGGCCGATTTTAATTCGGTACTCCTACGGAGTACAATTAACGCTATAATTGTACTCCTCTCGACCAATCAGAGTCGAGTAATTTTGTTGAGTGTACTATAAATATAGTAACTTGGGTTATAAGCAAAAAGGGATTGCGTGTATAATAATATAATCCTAATAGTTGCATGTATGTTATGGATTTTACTTAATTTTATTATTTAACAAGGGCCATAACAATTCAAGAAGTCTTATTTGATCCCAACAAAAAAAAATAAACAAAAATTTTGAAATGTTTTTACCTTTATGTTCATTAAAAATGTTTCATACTTTATAGCAAATGGAGTACCTGAAGTCATTTATCAATGACTGTGATCGTAAAATCCAGATTGCCAAGAAAAGACTAGAAGACACCCAAGATGAATGGGATGATTCAGAAGAGGTACCTGAGTAGTATAGGGAATGGGGGTTCCAGCGCAATCTCAACACGGGGTAAGACCCGCGTCAAAAATCCACCTACGGA